AGGTCAAGACTAAGAGTATGTTACTGCATTTGTCTAAATATAAGAAAAAAATGTTAGCGCCTGAGGTTGGTTGTCCCATCTTTGTGGCAGTAGGCAGGTGGTTCTGCATTCTGGGGACATCGTCCGGCGGTTCATATAGATGTGATAGTGGCTTTTGGCTCTAAATCCCAACCGAATAAATGTGTACTAACAAACGTGTTCAATGCTCAGCTTTCAGCATCTGGCCACATACTGTAAAAAAAAACATTCGGAAGACTACATATTTCCATGGCCAAATGTACATATATGAATGTGCAACAGGGCTTTCTACAAAATATGGAAGAATAAAGTTCTGAATGTGGTCGGTTTAAGTAGATAAGAAATGTCACGGTAGTTTCCTTTTGACAGTAATTTCAACCATACATCCAGAAATGGATTTGTGTTTCTGTGCATGCTCTTGTTCCTGTATTTGCCTTATTAGATGTTAAATGTGGTGATAGCTGCAGTATGTTTTAAGTGTTTTATCTTTTTTCTGTGCATGTGTGAATTCAGGTACAAATTATGACTATGTTAGAGAATTTAAAAGAAGCACGGGAACCTGGCAGCGCACTAAACCACTGTTTCCATCGGACCTTCGCCGTACTGGCTGTGCAGCTTTGCGGATCGCAAACTGCAAGCTCTTTCGACTGCAGCTTCAACAAGGATTATTCCGCATTCGCGTACCTTCTCCATGATCCGTATGCTGACAGTGGAGGAGACTGGAAGAATTCTGCGCAGTCCACCATAATATAGCTCTATATAAAGGAAAAGCTGAGAAATTACAGCTGAAACTTACACTGTATGCTGTGCTTTGGTATGGTAACTGTTTTTGTTTTAAATGCTTAAAAAGCTTGAGTCTCAGTTCTTGTTCGGGAACAAATAACTTAAGTATACATTAAAAAGAAGAGAGGGGGGAAAATAAAAGGGGGGTTCAAGGAAACACCTTCAGTCGTAACCATTTGGAGTTTAAACCATGTTATCAAAGGAGGTTTTTTGTGTCTGAAACTGGTGGGAATTGGTATTCCTTTGGTGAAGTTTATTGAAAAGCAAAAAAGATTTAAGATGTGTTTCCCCTGAGGGGAACTGATAAGAATAAACGCGCTATCTTGGACTGGATAGCTATAATACACAGAAGCTATATGATAACCAACCTCCCTGGTATACTGCAAAGACTGTTGTTTGACTGTAATGCCGTAGGAGATGTTGGTTGTTGCACCTTTTATTTCTAGTCCTTCCTCAAAAGTTAAGGTCTGTGCCTAAAAATGGTGGAGGTGTGTACATATGGTTTTTCATTCATTTGCAATGTTTTCATTCCTACAAATATTTTTAATATATGGACTAATCTGAAATGGATACAGTATACTACAGAGAAGTAAACTGTTTTTTCTACGCTCTCATTTGAATAGCCTGTTGAACTGGTGTACGGACGGGTGGCGCGCATTTCTCTGCGGGCTTTGGTGGCCGTTTCCTTGAAGTAAAAAGGGAAACGGTGTTTGGAAGGGTTAATGATGATTGCTGCTTTTGGTAAAAGACAACAAAACTTGACCAATTAAAGAAAATAGGTTTTGTTCCTTTTTACTTCAGATGGCTTGCAAACTGAGAGTGGTTTTTAAGAGTAAGGATTATAGAAAGGTGCATTTTATCTCTGTTCGAACAAAGGTGAAATATGACAAGGATATATTTGTTTTGCAGAAAACATGATTTTTGGACTAAGAGTTAAGGAAAATTTGTGCAGTGACTTTAAACTGGGATCAAAAGTTGGTTTACTAATGATTTCCATGCTAAGGTAGTCTTGTTTACTGCTGTCTGAAAGCTGGGGTTTATGGTGTGGTTATAGTGAAGAATTTAGTATCTTGCATTTTATTTCTTACTAAGTCTTGTTCACATCAGTAGTGATATTTAATTGACTTTTGTTCGTAGTCAAGATCAGCTGGTAGAACACTTTTACCTCAATTTTTGATTTCATTATTGTTGTGATGGGTGGGATGTAACCTGTATTTATTTAAAAGGAATAAAATGAGAGAGATGGAAATAGAAATAAGACCTCCTGCCCTTCAGAAAAAGAGACGTTGTATAACCAGTATTATAACTACATACAATACTTTCCACTCTGCAACTTTGCGGACCTCAGAGAAGCCAATGTCTGCCCTCAGTTGTGTTAGTGTAAACCTTAGTCATCTTTATTGAATCATCTTAGATATGCTGAAATACAATCCCAAATAGTACAAAATAGTTATATTTCACTAAATAGTCTTTAAAGAGACTTTCTGAAACGTACTTCTGCTCAGTCCTTCCATGGCGCTGATGTGTGGTTGGAATTACTCTGGCTCTGAGCAAAGGGGTGGGGGGAAAAAAAAAGAGGGCAGCAGCCAATCCATTGACCATTATTTATTTTTTTATTTTTTACAATGCTGAAGTGCTGCAAAACTTGAACTATATACATCAATTTTCTGACCTATATTAGTTGCGTATTAAAAAGTTTATATATTTATGCATTGCAGTAAACTTGGTGTGTGTGTGTGTGTATATATATGTCTTTAGATTTTAAATTTATATATAATGCTTTACTACAGAAATGTGAACCACTACTTCCATCCTTGGCTGTCTTGTGAAATAAATCAAGTGCTGTTAGTTTATCTGTAAAACTTCCCTTTTTTGAAAATCTTACATTGTCCAATTTTTTTTCTTAGACAAAGTGCCAAGATCCCATATTCAAAAGTGATGAATGTTCCTAAATACCTGTTTCACTTTTGAGCTCAGTTTTCTAAGTGGCTCAGAAAACTTTTGAAAATGTTATTCAGAATATTGCAGGCTGCTATCTCTTGAGCCCCTGTAGCTTCCCAGTACACTTGAGGGCATTCAGCATCCAGAAAACCTAAGTAATAAATGCACATAATGAATCCAAATCATATATACTCTAGCAGTGTTTTGCAGTTAAAGTTGTTGAACCAAGCGTTTACATTTAAAGTAGGATTAAGGGTAGGTATTCTTACTTTTTTTTTTTTGTTAAACAAATAAACAAATCTGCTGGTAATTGGACTGTTGCAAATGCACTCGGTGAGATTTGAGCAAGAAGTTTAAGCCTCTTCCCTTGAAACAGTGAGAAACGTCATTTCTTAGCACGTGTGTACTCCTGTCACATTCTGCGTGGTTGGCGGCCAGGGACCAAGTCTCCAGAGATGTCATCTCCTGGAGTTCCCGGTGGATGCTCTAGCTGAAGATTTAAGTGCTCCCGAGATCTCAAAACTGGCTTCCTTGGCCTTGCTTCAAGGGGGTGGGGATCATTCCCCGTCCGCATTGTCTGTGGGGCTGATCCAGGAGATGTTCTAGCCTCTCTGTGTGCGTAGGAGGGAAGGGATGCATCTTTTGGGGTCTGACTTGTGTCTGTCTGTCCAGTTCTGATCTGCAAGCTCGGTGATGAGCGCATCTCTTGGGATGTGCAATAACCAGGTTTGGCTGCCTCCCACTTGGGAGCAAGGCTTTGAAGCCGAGGCTCTCCTTTCTCCAGGGAAAGCCTGATTGTACACATGATGGATAGCTGACCTCTGACTTGTCTTGGGAAAGAGATGGTCGACTTCAGTAGAGGAGAGAGGCTTCGATACCAGAGGTGCTGAGTGCAGGGAGGTCACCGGTTTCCCAAGTGTGTTGGATGTGTGAACAGGTGTAGAATGAACTGGGTTCACTGGTACATGCCACCACCCCAGCTGTCCCTGCTTTCCTGGCGGCTGTGTACCCCTGCATATCACGGCCGAACCATGTGGGAAGCAACTCATGAATTTTCTCGGTTTGCAATCCAGGGGTTTCAGGTGGTTTGGCAGTTTAGAAACTTGTTTGAGTTGTCCTTGCTTGGCACAGTAGCCTTAATTCCTTCCAGCTCATGAATCGGCACTCAAATTCAGCCGGTTCTCCCACAGGTGACTCTGAATGATTTTCTTAGCCAGCCGTCTGTGCAGTCTGCTGGCTTCCAAGCATCAGGTTTTTAGGCACCTTCCTTACTGATTTACCAAACTGGGTGCCTCGATGGGGTTGTGAGTTCGTCACAGCGTTGAAATGCTGATGTTTTGAGACCCAACGTCTGTAATCGCTGAGGAGTACCACCTACTCGGTGCCCACCACCCCTCGGGTCGGGGCTGGGAACTTGGATGCAGGTCTCAGGTGGTTGCATCTTGAGTCAAGCTCAGCACAAGCCCAAACGAGGACTGGCGGGGTCCTCTTGCAGGCTTGAGTGACTTGGCTTGGGCCTCCGTGTCCTTTCCTTCCTCCTGCTGTAGAATTGGACAAACCCCAGCCATTGTAATCGGAAAATCACCAGATATGGGGTAGGGGCTGTGGAAGATGGGAACAGCCGTGGCTTTTCTCTCCCCTCACTCCACCTCTTACCACAATTCCCCTCCCCAAAAGTCTCCTCTTCCTTCTTCCATGTGCCACAGGTTATTTTTGGAAAAACTCTGGAATTGCTAATTTAAGGGTAAAATCAAAAGTTTGAGTGTACAAGTGGGGAAAAAAGAGTTAATACCGTAAGCACACAACGGTGTCCTCTGTGCTTGTTTTACGGGTGTAGTCTTGTGGCTGCTCTGCACAGCAGAAAGAGTGATTACAGAAGCAAAGGTGTAAAGTGCCGTTGCTCTCATAAAATAAATCTCTTGGGCTCCTTCGGGAGGCACGCACCTGGCCTCCTCTCCGTTCCTCACCTGGCCTTGCGGGATGCTCGTGTTCCTAAAGAGTCAGTGCTGCATTTCAAATTCTCATCCTTTTAGGTTTTATAACCTGAAAAAGAGGCATCCTGAGGAGTCTTCTGTTTTGTTACACCACGGCAAGGTCTGCCTGTCCTCAAATGTTCTATCAGTTATTCCTTAAGTTTTAGTTATTGTGAAAATGCCGTATCAGCTCAGCTGTTCCTGGTCAAGTGACTTTCTGTAGCTTTGAGGGTACCTCATCTTTAAACTGAAGGCAAATTAATTTGAGATTACACAAAATGATAGCAGTGAATCTGAAAACAAAGGCGAATTTACAAAATCAGCTCACCAGTAACTGTGGGCAGGCTGTATCCCTTTTGCTTCTGAGTGCGCAAACCTTGCGCGTCGCACAGCCTGCCTTCTGAAGCAGAGCTCTTGCTGAAAATAGGAGGTTTTTATCAAAGCTACTGGAGCGCCTGGCTTGCTTTATAAACTCCCCTTCCAGAAAACACCAGGCAGCTTCATTTCTTTTTTGCAATATTTCTGGAGCCTGCATGACTTGGTAAATGCACAAATACAGAAGTGAGGGGTTTAGGGAGCATTTTTCCCTGGTTTAACTGCAGTTTCTCTGGTTGGCTCCATAGGTACTGTGGCCGTACAGCCTGCGTGGGTTTTGGTAACGCGCATGTGCCATGCAAAGTGCAGGATGCAATAACAAATGCAAGTTGTTACAAGTGCCAAACTTTTGGGTTGCTCTGTATATAACAATAATTCAAGTGTTCTGTTAAAATAGAGAGATGCTTAAAATGCACTGTATTCCAAAAAAAGAGCAGTGGTTCTTCTTTTTTTTTTTTTTTTTTTAAAATGAATGCTATTTAAAACACTGTAAGTCTTTTTACTTTTTCTTAATACTGTTCTGCAGGTTTGTGTTACTCTTCACAGCTGCCTTGAGACATCACTCCATGTGATGCATAGGGACACTTTGCTCTCTGTTAGAGCACTAGTGCCATGCAAGTATA